ATGCAGAAATTAAGAAACTAACATTCAATTTTGCTTTCTACTGAAGTGACAAAAAAAAAAAAAGAAGACATGCGTTTTCTTGTTCCATTACCTCAACAGAATTAGAAATGCAGTATGGAAACTAAATGAAACTGATGAGTCTGTCTCAGGTTGAGTTGGTGTAAATATAATGTGTTCCAATTACTCACACATGAAAACTTCAGCATTTTCACATATACTCTAAGTGCTACAAGAAAAAATAATAACCTAAAACATTTACAGGAAAATTTCACAGGAGTAAACAATCACGTAAAAATCTGACTGCAAAACATAGTAGATTTTGAAAGTTTTGATTGATTTTCAAGCTTTATATTCAGGCTCATCCCAAACACTGTTTTTGCACACGTGATTCTGTTAAACATTAAAGCAGTAGTTTGTGTGAAAGCTCAAGTCTAAACTGACAGGGTTAATTAAAAAAACTGACCCATCAGTGTCACAGAGGTGGAAAGAATCATGTTGCCAGAGTAAATTTCCTGCCTTTGGCTCGAGTGGACCTTTTTGGGTTTGGACAGCTCTGATGGTATGCAGTTTTTAATAAATATACTGTTTTTTGTGAATCAGGCATGTGGCTTTTAGGAGTGGTTAACAAGTTGTCAGCTCACTTGAAATATGAGCAGAGTTAAAACTGAGCAAAATATTTTTTTTCCAATCTGTACAGTGAGACTTTTTCAAACACCCCCACCAATAAAATATGAAAGGAATGTTTTTTTCAACCAATTTAAAAAACAGCAGTTAAATTTCCCTGCCAGCATTAAAGTCAGTGTGTTGAAGTTTTGAAAGTGTTTGAATGTGCCGACATTTCTCACCTCAGTTCGTGTGAAGCGTTTCTCACTTTTTCAGTGTGTTCTCATCTGGTTTCCTTTTTGTGGGGGCCCTGCATTAGGTTATTAGATACRCAGGCTTGAACAGAGCTTATTTCTGCTGTGCAGCCTGTGAACCATAGTGTCTGAGAATTACTGTTTGGTAAGTTATTTGACAACTTTTTCTTCATGATATGTGAATGTCTTCTTCTATTAGTCATAAAAAAAACTGTTCAGATGCATGAGACGTTTTATTTTTGGACAAGAACTGAAATCCCTGTTGTGGAATTTAACTAATATTTTTTGTTTATTGTATTACTTTGATATTACTGAAACTTA